TGCGAATAAAATAATATCTAATTTGTTAAATTGCTTGTATTTATTAATATATAATTTGTTTTTCATTAACATCAATAATTGCATTAAATATTTGCTTATTGGAGTACACTACAGTAACTTCCTTAGCTTTTTGAAATTTCGAGCTCAACGTGGAAACATGATTTACCCTAAAAATATATTATATAAATGTTAAACAAACAACACACATAAGGACATTAAATTAAAAATCTTACAGTGTCGTGTGTAATATCCGAGTCGAGAATAATATTGCCCTTAGCCATGCTCAACATTGCCTTGTATTTGGATAAATCTACGCGGTGATCATTTGCGCAGATTTTCTCCTAAATTTTCAGGAATTTAAAAATGTTTTTAATATTATTTATATGTGTATGGATTAGTTATATGTAAATGTATATAATATATACTCATATAATTATGTATGGATACTCACCGCTGGCACTGGGCAACTAGATGGAGCACCAAATAATTTTAACATATCCTTTGCTTCATTCGAAACATGTTCCGCGGCAGAGCAAAGGTCAAATTTGCCTTCCTTTAAGACAACACCATCCTTTTGCACTTTAAATTTCGATACAGCTGTATTGAAGGCTTTGTTCGTGACGCAGCCCGTAGGCACAATTTCACACTTTTTATTAAGTTTAACAGCAAAAGCTTCATCCAGCATAATAATGGCGTCAGGTCCGCCACAATTTTCCGCCTTTACAATTCTCGCCTTGTAACCGTTCTGCGGAAGTTTCGAAAAAACTAAACAAAATTGTACATCAATATTAAATTTATTTAATGTACAACTTACGCAAGCCATTGCCACCTCGAATGCAATGCTGAAAATCAGTATAATCAAAGAATTAATAGCAACCATATTGAAAACTCTGCTATATTCTGCTCTATTCGATCAATAGCGTAGAATTACAAAAAGTAGAAAGTTAAAAATACCTTTCGCGCAGTAATATTTATACGGTGGCGTAGTGCCGTACTTCGGAAGGAACTAACCATCCATCAAATGGTTGGTAATTATTTTAAAATTATTCGGCACTTGAATATCGCAATCACTGATCGTTCAGGTTAATTGTGCACACTGATAATGATTACACTGAACGGAGCACAGTCAAAACAAAAACCATCTGCTGCGCACCAACTCTTTTATGAGCTCTTAAATGTATTTTTGTATACATTTTTGCAAATTTGCTTACAAACAAAATAAAATTCAATAAACATGCTAACGAAATACAACCAACACGGCAGTTAGAGTGATCCCTATTGCCGATAATGCCGCATTATTTCCGATTGCCTACACGCTAACTGCTATTAAATGAGATATACGCTGCTAAATGAGGTGCATACCATACTTACAGCGCGTACATTTATTCAAATGTGTTAACAAAGCTTCGAGATTTGCTTTTAGACCTTTTTTAGATAGGCACACGTGGCATTTAACAAAAATATGCGGATTACATAATTGTATATTTCAAATTACTTGCTAAATAGGTATATCCGAAAGCGTACTTCATGTACATATATCGTCGAGAGACGTAATTAAGGGGATTACTATCGGCGGGAGAAATAACGATTAAAATTTAGTGCAATTGATGCAAAACAACATTTATAATTAACGGGTGTCCAATTAATTGTTTAACTGCTGTTTTAAATGTCACATTATTGCTAAAGCTTAATGTGCTTATATAATACAAATTGTCTTGCATTTTTCTGTGATTGAAGAAATTTCGTGGTTTTATATCAGCGAACTAAAGACTTCATAGCTGTTTCTTTAAAGGAACTCTTCGATCCCAGTCTGTCTAACGAAAGCCAACCATAATGACATCTAGACACCAATTGAAAATTTGAACAAAAACGTCTGCGAACTTCTTCGCTCCGCTTTTCAATTGCAATTTTAGGTTATGAATAGCTGAACAACTAGCACGCGTACTGTAAAGTCAAAATGACATCTCAGTATTTAAAAATATCAAATCAGTTCAAAACGCAAGAAACTAAAATATTGAACGAGGTTTAACGATTTTCCCTAAACATTATTTGCTTTAGAGTTTGTTAACAGACCTTCTGAAAAACTTTTTGTGGTTGAATAGTGTAACATGATTTGTTTTGAAACCTTTTGCTGAGGGAAGTTTATGCTATGGTATAATAGTTAAATAATATGACTCGGGAAAGTTGGTGGATCGTAATGTTAGTTACAATTGGTTCAATATAATCGAACAAACTTGTACAAAAGGCAAAGGATCAAAATTGATTAGGACTGACTCTAGTCGTGAACAAACAGCTGTCAAACACACACTAAGCCTAAGACATTACCAATCTAGGAACAAAATATTTACCGATTAGGTTCACGTGCGCAGTTTATATAAACCAGTCCGAGTCAATTTTGATCTCGATCATGCTATATACCTTCACATTCTATACTCTTCGGAGATTGTACGGTTGTCTTGGACATTTAATCTACTTCAAGTTGTATCCATACAAGTACTTTATTTTGATCGCTATATGCTATAGTTAGCTGATATCGGTGGTTTCGACAAATAAGCAGTTTCTTTGGGAGAAAAGGGTTTGTACGATATATCAGATCGACATCTCAAAAACTGAGGAACTAGTTTGGGTAAATACATTCAAACAGACAGTGCCAAATCGACTCAGTTCATCACGCTGACCATTTATGTAGATTGGATATATAAGACTACAACGACATCAATTGACAAAATACGAAAAGACTTTTTCGACTACCCAATATATACTCATGTATTTTGTAGGATCTCTGACGTTCCTTTCTGGACATTAACAACTTCATAATTTAGCATACCGTGTTCAGAGTATACAAATTGCATTAAAATTCTACCAACCAATTAGATCTATTCTGATCCTCTCCACCTTTAAAATACTTTGTGCATCACCTGCAACACATACACACATTTACGTTTCCTTCAGTAGAGAATGCATATTTCAAACTGCAACGGATGCAACAAAAACATAGTATACGTTCCACAGCTCGCTTGCAGCAAGTACACGAACCACCGGAACCGCTATTTGCGCACACTGCTTGCAGTCGAGACACGAACGCAAATAAAAGCGATGAAAAGACACTAAAAACTACATATACAAACACAAATGCATGTATGTTTGTAGTGGTGTACGATTTGGGGGCATTTTAGCTGCGAAAGAGTTTGCTATTAAAGCGATGAACAGTTGAGTAGCGGATTTCAAAGTGTTTATCACGGAAGCGGACTCGCGCAAGGCGACGTTGTATTTCATAGAATAGTGAAATAGTATACAAATTAACGCGGTTATTAAACTGTCAATACACAATGGTAATGATTTCGGTTGATTTATTGTGAAAATTCAAGCAAAACTACATTATATACAAAGACTTGCAGCAGCCAAAAGTGTGAAATAATTTGTGTGCACTTGCGAAATTTAGAAAATGTTAATGAAACATATTGTGAGATGAGCAATTTGGCGCAAATTTGACAGCTGCAATGTTGGCGTTGTTTTCCCGAGATGTTTTATGCATACTTATAGGAATTGTGCATATTTTAAAAAACTGCAATATTTTTTGAAACATTCTACGAAATATAATAAACTTGAACTTGTGTTACTTTGTGTTGTGTGTGTGTGTGTGTAATTGAGTGTAATCGAGGAACATATGCGTTATTAGACAACAAGCTATATAAAATGGAAATAAAAATGTGCTTATGCTTACAATAAATTATATCCACAGGTGGTTTCGCTATTAAGCGAGCTACATACAAACACATTTACGTATCCGCATGTATGTGTGACATTTGTCTTTTCATTTAAGCGGTTTTTGCTGATTACTATCAATTACATTTATTCTCGAGTGTTCGTAACTTTTATTGTTCTTCGTTATTTAACTGTTTTGCTTTCTTTAATTACGCGCAGTGTTGTGTTTGTTGGCTAATAGGCATTAGTGCGCGGTGCTTATTGCATTTCAATAAATATACATTGAAGGCGTGCTAGAATTAATAAAAAAAATATTATAAGGAAGTACTAATACATATACAAGTATATGTATAGATCCGTGATCACATATTTATGCAAGTTTGACATACATACGTACATGCGTCAGCAATAAGCTGTTCGATAACAGTTGTTGTTTGGTATGATTGACGGAGTGTCACTCGGAAGCTAATCATACCGGAAGGATAACAAAATGTTCATATACCATATATTATATATGTATGTATGTATGCGTTACTAATGACATGTTTAGTTAAGGCATGTTAATCAAAAACAAACAAACAATATTTGTTCGTAATTTGCATAATTTTTGAAGTTTTTAAGTTGTTTTGATTAGTTAATAATTTCAAATTTTAATATTTTATCACTTTTTTTTAAACTTTTGGGTTTTGTAAATGTCAAAAGGAAACTTATTTATATTTTTATAATATCTATATGATTAATATTTTTTATTTATAAACTTATATATTGCGCTTAGTCTGAAAAGTTACGTGACACACAATTTTATATATTAAACAAACATACATATGTACATACAATGTTTAACACATTTTTTCGTACTCAATTCTTACCTTTTCGCTTAACTTATTTGCGCATGATTCATCCACTCCAATAGCGCATAGGTGTATGTGAAAATGTAGCTTAGTGGTAGCAGTCAAAGTCATTTCAGTCAGATGCTTCACCGTTTCCGTTGTACTTGTAAGTCATATACAAGTATACATGTGTACATATATTATACATACAATGCATATTGTATTTTATTGCATTTCATTTTGTGAACTGCCTCATTTTGCCTCAAGTTAGCGCAAATAACAAAACTGCAATAAACAAAGCAAAACATGTTAACAATGCGCATCAATTTTTAATAAGAAATAACTAAAATTGGATAAACATATGAATTTAAAGTCGTAAGAGAAGGAATTGAAAACAAAACGGTGAATAAGTTAATCATCAAACATTCTTTCTTTTGCTTTATCATTCGTACACACGCTTCTTAGCTGCTTAAATTTTGGTCAAATCAGTTTGCTGTGTGAGTAAGAGAGCGCTGTAAAAAGGCACGATTGCTTGAAATGCAGTGAGTGAAATAAAAAAATCGTGTTTTTATTATTATTATTACCTGCTTTCGAAAAGTAAAAAAACACGCTAATGTGTATAATTTTACATATGTACGGCCACATATATGTACATACATACCAAATACATACGAACAGCTTCTTTTGTGCTATAGAACGAGTTTATATGCGCGTTTGTGTGCTATTGACCGCAAGCGAGTCACCAATTGTTCTGCTTTTTCACGGTTATTGACAGTCGCTTATATACTGTTTGCATTGGTAAGTACAGAGAAAAGTATTAAATTAAAAGAAATAATA